AGTTTGTGATGAATGTATCATTTCCAATTAACTATGAGCCCTATAATGAGCAAACTTGCATGGACGATACATCTTAGGATGCACACTAATGGACTTACTTTGGATGCTGAATTCGACATACATTTTTTCAGATAATGGACCAGGTAAAAGTTATGGGTGCAGGTCAATTACCAAAAAACTTGAAGGCTTATATAACATTGTATAAACCAAACCAAACTTGCACAAATGTTGCATCAGGAGATGAAAACTCTCAAATTTGCTTCAGATGCTTAATTTTAATTACATTTTCATGAACAACTAGTTTAAATTTTTTATGTAGGTCTATTTCAATGTATTCGATCAAAATTGCTTAAATATTTTCATTTCTGGAATGTACACTTTTTGTTGGTTAATTGTGTGACTTTGCCTTACTTAAAGACAACATTCGTTGAGGTGAGCTCTGTATTCTCTGATTACCTATGTTTCTATTTACAAATATTATCGATTTATTTAGAATTTATTAATTCTTTATTCACATCCATTCTTTGATTGTATTCCGCTAGGGTTTAAATTGGATGATAAAATTTGATGAGCCGGAATATCAATGGATCGAAATCTCTAGTCACCGGTTGACCAAGTGTCCGTTGACAAGGAAACGTAAACATAGCATTTCTGCTGCCCGCTAGGGGAAGTTAACGAACGATAACTGGAAATCAGCGGCAGTGCTGGTCCTGTGTTTGCCCGTGCATTTACAGATACGAGCCACTACGGTGTTCTTGTTTCCTATGATAGGATATTATCTGGTAAGTGACATTGTCTTTGTAAGTAAAATTTAATTTCTTCAGGTATATGGTGTGATTACTCTTTTATGTTTTTACAGTACAGTTCATTAAATTAAATGTAAATTATTTTTTTCTGAAGACATCTAACATGTTGGGCTCAAGAAAATATTATTTACATATGTTTTTCTACTTAACCTATCTCAACCTATGGATTATTAAGTGGTGAAATGTTTAGAAAAGTTATATGAAAAATCTAAAGTTATATAAATGAAGCGCTTTTGGGTAACGATTTTTTTGAAATATAGAAGTGGTATTTTGTGCTGCAAAATTACCTCCTTTTTCAATCAGCTGTTTATAGTTTATTTCAATATTAGGCCTATATCACATGTAGTTTATATAGGAACTTTTTACAATACATATTTTATATAATAATTTGTGATTGTATACAGTGATGTAATTTTTTTTTTTGTTTAGCCAAGGCATATTGGATCAACATAGTGTGTTTGTGCCATATATGTTGAAAATGTAATTGCTTAATTAGGGTTTTATTTATTAAATAATATAAAACCTTAACAATATTTTCTGTATTTTTGTAATCGTCCAAAATAGTTATCAAAATGTGTATCATTCACTTTTTTAATTCAGCCAGTTGCCTGTACTTTAAAGATATTAATATTGCACAGGAAAATATAAATTTTCAATTTTTAATAAGTAGGATTTTTATATATTTTAAAATCTCAAACTTTTGCATAAAAAGATTTTTCTTTTGCCAGATGTTACATCAAATGTCTTCTTTTATGATTTGCATTTTTTTTTTAAATTGTAAATTACAATTTATTACAATGTTTTTATACAAAAGTTTTGTGAGCAGAATCAGTCAGCGTGGGATTTTCTGCACTATACTGATACTAATTGTTTGTATTAACTTTTGTATTATTACATGTATCTCGGTCTTCTTCACAAAAACAAGCCTAGCTCCTAAGAAATTAATATAAGTCAGCTCTTTCTTATTTGATGTTGCATATATATAGTTATCATTTATTGATATTCAGCACTGATGAAGGGAAAAATATATGAGAAATTATTAACAGTTCAAAATGCCATTGGATAAAAACATTGATTTCTGCCATTTAAACTTACCATCTCATTTGTCTTAATTATTCTTGGAATCCTCAGAATTTCGTACAATATAATGACCTTACATACTAAACAATGGAATCTTAATTTGGACTGTGTTGGCAAATTGTTGTGAGCAGAATCAGTCAGCGCGGGTTTTTCCGCACTATACTGATACTAATTGTTTGCATCAACTTTTGTATTATTACATGTATCTCAGTCTTTCTCACAAAAACAAGCCTAGCTCATAAGAAACATAAATTTTAGCTCTTTCCTATTTGATGTTGCACTTTATATATAGCTATCATTCATTGATATTCAGCACTGATGGAGGAGAAACATTTTATAAAGATAAAAACATTGATTTGAGCCATTTAAATGTACCTTTAGTCTATATCATTTGTCTTCAATTCTTAGAATCTGCCTAATTTCTTACAACACATTGACTTTACCTACAAAGTGATGGAAGCTTAATTTGGACTGTGTTGGTAAATTGTTGTGAACAAAATCAGTCAGCGCGGGATTTTCCGCACTATACTGATTCTAACTGGTTGTATCAACTTTTGTATTATTACATGTATCTCAGTATTCCTCACAAAAACAAGCCTAGCTCCTAAGAAACATAAATTTTAGCTCTTTCCTATTTGGACTCTGTTGGTAAATTGTTGTAAACAAAATTAGTCAGCGCGGGTTTTTCCGCACTATACTGAATCTTATTGTTTGCATATACCTCACATTTATTCTGGTACCATATCCTACAAAAGTAGGTCCACATAAATATACAGTTGGCAGCTCTCCCTAAAAGCTGATGCAATTCAAGAAAATATATTTTTTTATATTCACAACTCAAATGAAAGGATACTGGATTGAAAACATGGAATATCTCCCATTATCATCAACTGACTCCTTCAACTTGCATATTTATTGTATAACACAGTGACACTATTTTTGGACTCCCAAGTCTACATAATCTTCATCTTGGATTATTATTTTTCGGATTATTATAAAATGACTTCTACAAGTTTTCCTCATCAGGGAATACAAACTACCTCTGAAACAGAATTATGACATCAACCTTCAAGAGTCAGTATATACAGTGTACTTGATGGAAATAAAGAAACAGACTATAGATAGAGTTAGAGTTATCCTTCCTAATGGTAATGTTTTTTTTTTTACTTTATATTGGATTACCTCCCGTAGAAAATGGTAGGTCACAGCTTCTACTTTTGACGAGGTAGGGTGTGCATGTGATTATTTTAATTTCTACAAAACAACCAATAAAATTTCGTTTCATATTTACTTCTAAATGCAGAAATGAAAGTAAAAATGAACATTTGATCTTTCAATTCTTCAATTTATTTTTTAGGGAGAATTGCTAGTAAACAATCTTGATTCTGTCATAAACGATGTCGGCTATGTACAGTCCAACTGATCAAAAATAAGAGGCTCAGATTCAATAAATGTATAAAATTAAATGAAGCGAAGGTCAATATATATTTTATTTACTCCTCTGTATTTACATCTTGTCCGAGTTTTTCCTCCATTGGAGGTGCCCCTTACCCCAACAGACGTTTCGTGTGTATCGAGATAAAAACAAACTAAAGCAGGAAAGTATTGGTGCTAGATATTCACTCAAGATGCTTTTCAAATTATTAGATGTGTACAGTATATTTGGATAAATCAAAGAAATTGTTGTTTAAACTACATGTTTGAAACGAAGGGAAGTCACACCGGAGTCGTGCTAGTATATAAACAGACTATAGGCGGATCCAGTAACTTCAGTGGAGTATTTGTTTACGTTTTTATGTTTTTTCAATCGATGAAGAAAACTACTTACCTTGTATGTATTTATTTTAATGCAATAAGTATTTTGATACCCCGGTTACCCATCAACTGGTTAATTTCTTTCCATAATCCTTTCAAAGCTAGAACACCTTATATTATCCTCCTTCAATGAGTAAAAAGTCTGTAAAACAGTTTGTCGTGTGTTGCCACCTTTGTGACGTTTAATAATTTGTTTGAAATTCTCAAAAGTATTATTAATAATGACATATAATTCTTCAGTCTGCCTTGGTTTGTAAAGATGAATAATCTTCATCTTCATTTTTCAAGACTACGAGCAGCTGACGAGTAATTGAATATTTAATATTTGGAATCATGTTCAGCATACGATATGTGTGATAAATACGGATCTTCTTTTATTTTTATTTTTTTTTTTTAATTATAACTAATTTCAAACAAACAGGACTTATGAATAGGGTAATTATACCCTGTGGTCGTTTTTATTTTTTTTTATTTAATTCGGCATTTCGATGACACATACCAAAAAAGCAATGCATGGAATGAAAAATTCCGGGTTTTTGCAGAAGAAGTAAGTTAACAATGCACATAACCCCCAGGCCTCGATCCAAAAAATATTTTTGTCTTTTTGTCCTCATTTTATTATTTATTTTTTTTTCTTTCAATTGTTTTTAGATCGAGGCTTGGGGGGATAGTGAATTTTGTGATTAAGTTGATGACAGGTAGCTAAATTTGCTAAAAAATGGTGACCGATACGGGTTTAGCTTGTTATAGCATCTATTCGCGGAAATATTACAATGTTTTTTAAAGAAATGAGGTTTTAGCATTTTCATGCTATGATAAATTTTCCAATTAGGGAAACTTTATTTTACTCATAATCACAGGGCCGATTTCGGCACTTCGTGGCTTTAACTCTTAGAAGGTTAAATCAATGTACTTTCCATAGAACGTACAAAATGACGACTTTGAACAAGAATGCTAATATTTTTTCCTTCACCAACTTGTTTGACAATAATTAGCCTTCTTTTAGAAAGTTTCACAAGTAGAGCATGCTCTTTCGTATCGAATCAGCTTAGTATGTTCATTTATAAACTCCGCATGCAGGTGATCAAGCTGCATACGTAAAGGAAGTTGACGATTGAAAGGTTAAAGTAATCACGTTTATAATATATCTTTGTTGTTACATTCCCATAAAAGACTTTTTCGAATAAAATAATTATGTAACAGAATACTCTGTGGTACATGTATCTTTATCTCAAGCTTACCAGGATATAATAAGAACCTGAAAATTAAGACAAAGTGTAGAGAGGGTCCATAAAAATTAAAAAATGATATTTGAACATATATCGTAATTCACACACAAGAATATAAATTAAACTTTCACATTTCGCAGATGTAAGCGAATTCGGAAATACAGTTACAGTTGTATAGACCATATTGGTGAGTGGATTTGTGTTGAAAGCATCCACATAATTCATGTGTAAAATTTGGCTCGCGAGGATACCACAGGGTCGAATTTATGTCAACAGACTTTTTATTGGTCCATTGCCAGACGCCATCTTTATTTAGATCCTCCAATCCAATCCAGTAAAAAGCTGTTTAGATTAAAAAGAAGAAAAGCTCCGTTAACTTTCAAATAACTTTGCTTTAAGTGTTACTGATACATGTATACTAAAATATAATCAGAGAAAATCAATACATGTATGCATTACCCTGATCTTATGTATGTAAGGTACGAAAATATGAATACATATACACGTCTATGTGTGTTTTTCTCAATTTAGTTTTGATACTTTCTATTTGATAAAAATGTGTGCAAATTATTGCATTTCATAAAATATGCCTACATGCAAGTCTTTGTTATTTACATGCACAAACCAATTGCATTCAAATATTACAAAAAAAATCCCCGAGATATATTTACATAATGGAACTTAAAAGACCAACACTTATAAATATCATAATCCGAATCATCAACATTTTTTGTAATATATATTGTCAAAATCATGAAACTTATCATAAATGATAGAATAAAAAAAATCGGACAAAAACTGTCAAATAACTCACTGTTGTAATGAAGAATGTTTTGAAAATTTTGTAATTTCTCAGCAGAATCTAGTGTAATGAGTTGACTTCCTTCCAGCATACATTTTTCATTGGCATCCTTCCAGTTTAAAGCATTCTCGTAAAGCTTGAAGCAGACGTTGATTTCAGTAAAATATTTGTACCGGTGATCGTTGCAATCTACAATAAAATGAGATATACATGTAATCTAAATTTCATTTATTCATAAATATAATATTCAATGCATTCCTTGAAATCCTTAAATATCGAAATATTTCTTTTTAACAAATTTCAAAAAATTGATTAAAATATGACATTGGTCTAAGTTTTTTGCTTACTACTTTCATCCGAAAGTGAAAGTTTTGAATAGTATTGAGCTCCGTTCATTATGGTGAATGCTTTTCCTTCCGTTTGTTTGCGTTTATGACAGTAGCACTCCGACTCTATATGTGTGAATGCCAAAGATTTACCAATCGTCTTACAGAACCGCCCACATGAAGAGGCACCTGGTATACTCAGGTGTTTTATCGTCACATCAGAAGAATTGCAAATATCTTGTCATCAAATCTTTCATCTCTCTTCAAAATTTGAATCAGCTGGCATTCTTAAAAATATTGTTCATTTGATCGATTTTTTTTATACATGTATATGATATATTATTTATAGTTTTAATTCAGACCCATAGGAAATTGTGTTTTCGGCATACATTTTGCTCTAATTGTTTATTATGGCCTAAAATATATAATCACACACTATATAATTATGTAACTACATCAAACATCAAACACACAGGGTTTGTATTTATACTTTAAAGCAATAATTTACGGTGAAACTTTGCGACATACCAGAAGGTTCGATTTTTAGATTATTTTTGAATTATCAAGGAATAATTTCTACAAAAATAATATGAAAAAAAAAATCGGCAAAAAATTCGAAAATATAATGTAAATTTTTATATAAAAATACATTCAAAAATTTGAAATAAAAAAAAATATTACAGCTTGAAGTTAATACATGTACGTACTAAAAAAATACTTTCATTTTCATAGTTACAAATTTGTTACATGTATCATGTAAAAAAATAAATTTTAAGTTGACTTTATTTTACAATATTTTTCCCCTTGGTTTTAGAACTTGAACTCACGAAACATTTAATAAAATAGTGTACAATTCCTGAGAAAGATTTACATATGGTATTGCTTTTAAAAGGGTTTTTAAAAAAGGCTATGAAAATCCATTTCAGGAATAAAAACTTACCAGTTGCACTTAAAAACGCAGCTCCTGAAATGATGACACTAAAAAAATCTATTCATATTTCTAAATTGCAGAATAAGTGAAATATAAACGTTCGTGTTGAGTAAAAAATTCAAATATGTATTTTTTATCTTTTCAAAAATGGAAAGAATATAAATATTGATAGAGAAAATGCAAATAGGAAATTTTACCGAACAAATACACATCAAATGCATTACTTTTATTGTTAACAAAAGAACAATTGTTGGAATAGTCTAGCTTTATTTATCTCATTCAAAAGCATTAAAACTGTTAGGTCGTTTGCATCCATTAATCCACTAATCAAGCAAAGTTAAATGTTTACCGAAGGTAAATTATCCATTGTTGTACGGAGATTTGTAATTTGTATTCAATATTTTGTTTCAACATATAATATTTAAAGCACAACATTTAAATTATACTTTCCCCCAACTGCATTGATTTTCTATTAATACAAAAGTACATGTGTATGCATATTTGAATAAAATTGTTTTTGATAGGAAGTTCCGAGATTTTTTGTGTTTTTTCTTCAAAAACAGGCTTTGAATTTATAGGGGAAAGTCCATCTCCCACTATCTAAGTAACTCACGTATCTAGAAGCGTTTGTCAGGCTTGGGACGAAAACAATGCTGCAAATGGAGTTTTATGAAGAGACTAACTTTTACAATTTAAACAGAGACAAACTCCAATCACTAAAATGTAAAAGTCAGCATTTATGTAATACCTGCTTGTTTACATATTATTGAGATCTAAATAACCTTCCACTTTCTTCCTGGATAAAAATCACAACTCCATATTTGTGTGAATTGTCATTTATTGAAAATGACAATGAGTATTAAATAATACAATAAATGGGGAGATCAAAAAACCTTATACAAATATTCTTTTACATAAACAAGTAAAGTTGTATAATGATCTCCCCTGTTACATGTCAAAATAATGTACGAAATAACAGAAAAAATTGTAAAACATATATACATTACAAGCAAAAAGTTGGCGTTCAAAAATAAAAACAGAAGGCCCCACACAACGCACTGTTGTGTTTTAAGAAAAGAAGATAACATTAAATAATCAAACATGTTTTACCATAAACATAAATGTTTGATATTTGACTGATGGTGAAAGCTGGGGAAGGTGGGTGGGTGATTTCTTAAGTAGAAAAATTTAACGTGTTTTTGTTTTCCCTCTAAATCAGTGAAGTGGCGCTAATCTGAGACACAAGAAAATACACGCTTCTGATTGGTTAATGTACACAGGTTTGGCTAATTCCCCGATAGACGCCAAATACACATACACATGATATGTTTTGATTTTAAGAAAACAAAAAACCATAAAACACATGATTACATAAATGCTATTATTTGACAATAATGCTGTATTATGTAATACCTGCTTGTTTACATATTATTGAGATCTAAATAACCTTCCACTTTCTTCCTGGATAAAAATCACAACTCCATATTTGTGTGAATTGTCATTTATTGAAAATGACAATGAGTATTAAAGAATACAATAAATGGGGAGATCAAAAAACCTTATACAAATATTCTTTTACATAAACAAGTAAAGTTGTATAATGATCTCCCCTGTTACATGTCAAAATAATGTACGAAATAACAGAAAAAATTGTAAAACATATATACATTACAAGCAAAAAGTTGGCGTTCAAAAATAAAAACAGAAGCCCACAAAAGGCAAACCACGTTTGCAAAAACGCCAACCAAAGTGGACTAGCCATCTAAGGGTAGACCACACAAAATGCACTTATGATTTTGGTATGCAGACAAATATCAACACTATTTTGACACATAGTTTTTGTAAATCTTAACATACAAGAAAAAAAAATGTAAACAGTTAAACAATTCACTCTGTAAAAAAGGATAATTAATCCAGATGTAAATTTTTGGAGACTAGCTTTCACAACATTGCATTTTGACCCATACATTACATTATTTATAATAGCAAAACATGAGAACCAGCAGGCACAGCTGGAAAATTTGGGACTAGGTTAATACATGGCAGTACACATATCTGTGAATAACAAGGCAAAAAACATTTTCCAAATATAAACATCACTATGTATTTACATGAACACCTGTTTGCACAGCAGTTCACTACTGACCTGTATATAGTTTAAGACTCCAGCAGTTTACTTCTGACCTGTGTATAGTTTTAGTCACATAGCAGTTTACTTCTGACCTGTGTATAGTTTCAGTTGCACCACAGTTTACTTCTGACCTGTGCACTTGTAATAATTGGTTTTTTCAATCCCCTAGCAGTTAACTTCTGACCTGGTGGATTGAAAAAACACCCCGTTTAAAGTTCTTGCATATTAGTAGTTAACCTGTACTTACTTCTTATTCCAAGAAAGATATTTCTGCATTTTGATAAAGTTTCTATATTTTAAAGCTTTCGAGGCGTACATACTTACGAATGGCATCTGAGTTCCATCGGCCCATTTTTTGAATACTGTTTTCCGAAAAACCTAACTTTGCAGCATGTGTAGCTGCTCCTATCCTGAAACTATGGCCTTTGTACAGAGCAGGATTGAGACCAATGAATTGAATTGTATTTTGAAGATGTTTTGCTACAAACGAATATGGGACTGGTTTCCCCCCAATGAACTGGTAAAGAGGCCCGGTGTGATGACCAAACATATTCACATATTCATACAAGGCATTCACGGGGCACATGATGTTGTTGTCTTTTAAGGCCTTCAAGTGGATCTGGAAGAGGTCCTTTGTTTTATTTGTTTTAAAGTGTTTTAAGACAATTACAACTTCGATGGGTGAGTTCTCATTTAGGGTAAATGAAATATCTTCTCGTTGGATGACTGTGCTAGCTAGACTTTTTGCCTTAACTACTACTTCCCCTAGCCGTAAAAATGCATTGAAAGCAAGAAGAAAAATTGACTTTAAAAGAATTCTTTGATGCTGATTCAAAACAGAGCACTGAAGCCCTTGAATTAACTTGTGTAAAATGGGACCTGTGATTGGTAAACGTGAATCTTTACACGGGGCTGAATGGTGACAGCCTTGCATGACCTTTTTTACCAGAAATGTATCCGATGGGTCTGTTGTGCCTAACAATTTATGTACATAACTAATTGCTGATACATGTGTTGCAATGCTATTTGGAGAATATCCGTTGTCAAATAGGTAAGAAATAAAGTTACATAATGTAGATGGTGAGACAGGCAAGAATTTGATGGAGGGAAATGTGCTCACTAGCATGTCCCATGATCTTTTGTAGGCTGCGCTTGAACTCTTTGTAAGAGCTTTTGACAGAAGATTGCAAGCTGATGAGTTCAAATGTTCAAACTGGCTTGAGGGATTTGTGTCGGCTGGCGGGTTAAGTGAGGTGCAGACTGGAAAGCTGCCTGAAATTGAAAACGGGAGAGGCGATCAGCAGTGATATTATGCTTTCCCGGAATGTGTTTTGCTCGGAAATGAATGTTGTTTTCTAAGGTTGCTAAAACTAAGCGGCGCACTAATCTCATAATTGTTTTGTCTTTTGATGTTTGTTTGTTAATGATTTGTACTACTGCCATATTGTCAGACATGAATAGGATTCTTTTATTTTTGATTTTGTTCCCCCATATTTCTATAGCTAGTACAATGGGAAATAACTCTTTGACTGCTATTTGACAATCATTTTGTAAAAAGTCCCAGTGAGATGCAAACCACTCATTACCTAAAATCGCCGCAAAGCCCAATGACCCTGATGCATCTGTGTAAAGGGTAAGGTGATCTGTGGACAACCACTTTTGAGGAAGAAAAACTGACTTCCCGTTAAAGCAGCTTATGAAAGACAGCCATGTTTCCATATCTGCTTTTGTTTCCCTAGTTAAGTGAATGTGTGTTGCAGGTTCAGTTACTGCACAAGTTAGATCAATCATGCGTCGGAGAAAAGCACGCCCTGGAACCACTACTGAGCACGCAAAATTGAGTAAACCAATCAGAGATTGAAGTTCACGTAATGTAGTTTGATCTTTTTGTAAAAGTTCTACCAAATGCATTTTAATCTTGTTAATTTTGTCCGCTGGTAGCCGTGCTTCCATTTTGTCGGAATCAATTTCAATACCATAGATTATAATTTTTGTAGTTGGAGTCTGTGTCTTTGACATTTTGATAGGGACACCAATATTTTTGCACAGAAAGAGGAAATTTGTTATGTCATTCTTACAGCTTTCAGAGTTCGCAGGTCCAATAAAGAAGAAGTCATCCAGAATGTGTGACATTCCCCCAGCCCCGAATTTTGACTGTAGTATCCACTGTAGAGCTACACTGAATTTTTCAAATATCTGGCAAGAACTACTTGCCCCCATTGGGAGACATTTGTCAAAGTAATATTTTCCTTGCCAAGAAAACCCTAGTAAATGATAATCTTCTGGGCAAATTGGAATGATTCGGAATGCATCTTCAATATCGGTTTTTGCCATCAGGCACCGAAGGCCATGAGTTTGCACTAAATTTATAATCCAATCAATTGAGTCATAATGAACTTCTGAATTTTCTTTTGGAATATGGGTGTTAACAGAATTTGTTTTTGGATAAGAAAGATCATGAATAATACGAAATTTTCCTGGTTCTGATTTTGGTATGACACCTAAAGGGGATGACACAAATGGGTCGAAAGGAGGGTTTGGGAAAGGTCCTGCTATACGATGGAGCTCAAGGCCCTTTTGTATGTGATCTTGTATGATTTCTGGGTGATTTTGAGCTGATTTATGGTTTTTTGACAAAGATGCTGTAGGAGTGTTTTCACATCCCAGGGAAAATCCGAAACTGAAACCTTTTACCAAATAATCTCTCAATTGGTCATCGTAACCCCTTAAATGGTCATTTAGTTTGTTTGCCTTTACTGGGGTTGGGTGAGGTCCTATCATGTTCAGATTTTTCTGTAGATTTACATTTAATTTTGGGGTGATTACCTCTACAGGCTTGGCAAATGTGGGTGAATGGACAGGGGGTTGACTTACATTTGTTACCTTGGTTATAGGCGAAGCAGAATCTGACCCCACCGATTCTCCCCACCTGTTTCCCACGAAAAGGCTGCCCATTAGATTGTTTTGTGGAAACAGCTAATGATTTACCACGTAGTTCCTCCACTGGCTTTTGCCATGGAAGGTCTACTGTCTCCCTTAACTTCCTGAAAGACTCATCGTATGATCGCCACGCTGAATCCCCATGAAGTTTTTGTAGCTCCCTTATGAATGACATGTACTTAAGCAGGTGGGGAGCCTCAGTGGGTTTCTGTTGTATAACGATACACGTAAAAACCAGAAACGCATCTGTCCATTGGTTGATGGACAGAGGTGTTTTAGACTTTTGACTATGTTGCAAATTTATTACCCCTGGTGTGATCAGTAAGGTCACTGGGTCTTCCTCTTGGTGCGTCAAGAGACTACGCAAATCTATAAATTCATTTGACCATATTTTTGACTTAATTTTGTTAGGTACGGTTGCACCAAGAGGAATGCCATCAGTGATTGATATGTAATTACTTGTGTTTTTATTGGGTGCTGTGCCTGCTGGCTCACCTTCAAATATCCTAGATACCAGTTGTGACACTGTTGCTGTTGTGTCAGCTTGTGACCCTGAGGTAGCATCTTGTGTCGCTGATGTAGACGCTTGTGACCCTGCTGTAGAAGCTTGTGACCCTGATGTAGCAGGCTGTGATGATATTGAAGCTGTTGTATTAACCTGTGATATTGCCGTTGATGCAGAGGTCTGTTCCTGGTTTTTTTCTTCACCAGTCGACTGAGGTTGGTGCAAACTTTGTTGCCGTAGGATCTCTGCGGCAAGTTTTTGATAGTCAATGGGGACTTGGTCTGGTTTTGTGGCCCCCGAAGCTTGATTTGGCTTCCGACGTTTTGCGGATGGCGCATCCATACCCTGGCCGTCTGTCTGTTTGGAAGTCTTTTTCCTAGGCATGACTCCTACAAAATGACTTCACTGTTTTAATACACTATGATATGTCTAAGCTAACCTAAGATGTGCCTTATATATAATAAGCCAAACAGATATTATTTTTTCTCAGGACTTAACACATCATTCTCAGTGTGTGTCAAGTCCGATATATCATTGATAACTAATCAAACTTGATATTTCTATCTCTACATAAATTTTGGAACCATTGGACTGCATCTGTTATTAATTACTCAACTCAGATTTATGCACCCAGATGTTTGAGATCAAAATTTATGTAAACTTTACTGCAAATCACAAAATATTATATGCATTATGCATATAACATATAGGCAACATCAATTGTGACAACCAAAGCATATTGCTTTAATTGTATGACTACCAAGTACAGTAATAAAATCAATTTTCACAGTATTCTACATCAAGTACACGCCATGAATCTCTTAACATACTACTCATAGAGAGACTAATACATTTGTATGAATAAAACTAATGCACACTACTCTGCGTGTGACTCAACTGATGCACACTACTCTGCGTGTGACTCAAGTAATGCACACTACTCTGCGTGTGACTCAACAAATGCACACTACTCTGCGTGTGACTCGACTAATGCACACTACTCTGCGTGTGACTCAACTAATGCACACTACTCTGCGTGTGGCATAACTAATGCACGCTACTCTGCGTGTGACTAAAATAATGCATAATACTCTGCATACGCTTAAACTGAATCAGACTACTCTGCGTGAGATTAAATTAATGTACACTACTCTGCGTGTGACCATACTGAATTCTGACATGTAATAGAGTTACAGATCTATAGTTAATATGATTAAAAATCACTGGCTTATCTGGAATGGTGAAGAACTGCAATACGAATGCTGTGGAGGTATTTTTTCATGTGCCTGGATGTTCCCTCTATGTGTACACCATCACGACCAAGATAAGACAGGTCCGTCCAAAATCCACGATGTTGCCAATAATAAATGTTTTCTAGGGTAGCAGTTCCTTCCTTCAATTTATTGTTAACGTATATGACGTCTTCGTTATACCCTGGTCTGGTCGCCCATGGCTGTCGACGTAACAATTGACCCACTATAACGTTTTTGATTCCCACGCCGTCACGTAAATATTGGGCATATGAGAGTAAATCTGTCACCACTTTGTGGGGTTGTACCCGGCATAAATCGTTGCCGCCCATTTGCAGAAAGCACACATCGGGGGGAGGTTTGGGGAAATTAGTGAATTCCGCGCACTGTGCTAGACGTTGAAAGGTTAGCCCCCCTCTAGCTTGAAAGTCCACAAAATATCGTGTATTATCTAATTGTAAATTAGCATAGTTTTCATTAGCTGCGATAAATTCACCTAACCGGCGAATGTATGAATGTCCCATGATTCGAACATGAATCTTCGCACCTTCCGCCATCGTGTTGTGGGCTTTTTGGACGGAGCTGTCGAATCCTGGATTCGTTAAAAAGTCACCAATAAGAACTTACTTCACTGTCTAGGTCTACCAGAATCCAGATAAAGCTATTTACTGATGGTCTACTATAGGAATCATACAATTCCACAGGAAAACATGGTGATTTCTTGATTTCTTAAGTAGAAAAATTTAACGTGTTTTTGTTTTCCCTCTAAATCAGTGAAGTGGCGCTAATCTGAGACACAAGAAAATACACGCTTCTGATTGGTTAATGTACACAGGTTTGGCTAATTCCCCGATAGACGCCAAATACACATACACATGATATGTTTTGATTTTAAGAAAACAAAAAACCATAAAACACATGATTACATAAATGCTATTATTTGACAATAATGCTGTATCAAATGTAAAAGTAAGTCTCTTCATAAACTCAAATATGAATCTACGTGTTCAAATACAGATATTATTCCAAGCTTGAAAATATTTTTACTTTTACAATCTTATTCACATTATATTTTATCACAATCTTTATGCTTACACTATATATGTGTATGCCGATTGATTAATGACTACTTTTATGTTCTTTAGCGTATTCTTCTTTATTTTTATGTTTTGAAAACATTTTCTATGGTATTTATTTCCACATGTCCGGGTTGTAGTCCATATTACTGGCTTTCATGTGTACGAGAATTTATCAGTTTCACACCTGAGTTTATTTTCTATATAGTTTATACTTTAATTGGCTTTTATTTTGTTTTAAGTGAAGTAACAGTGGTGTACAGTTATTTGTTTCAATAAAAAAAGTTTCATCCATATCAACTTTACTGTATATTTCTTTCCCGCTTGCACCCGAATAATGCAATAATCTGCAACGGTATCAATCGCTTTGTTTTGCTCTTAGGAAATGGAACTGAAGCAAAAATAAATTCTTTGGTCTAGGTTGTTTTCTGGTCACTGACGGAAAAACCCAAAATTGCGATTGCAGTCAAAGAAATTTATATGAATTTGGTTGTGCATTATACAAAATTTCAGTGAATAAATGTGCAAGATAACGTCAGACTACACATTTATTTTTCGCGGTAATCATTTTTACAATTTTCTGATGCCGCCTCCCACCCCTCCTCCATTTCTGAAATAACTTTCCGTGGTGATTTGCTAGGGCGATTGTTGCCCTATTTTTTTTACTTATTTGTTTTTAAATTTCAGAATTTATAAGAAGGGCGGATGTTGCCCCATCTTTGACACTGTTTAGGTCTGACATACGCATTCTGTTTACTGTACATTTTTGCGTACCTCATTGAATATTATTGTGAACTTAAGCTTCTATGATGTTTTTGCTATATACGTTTGTTTCTATTACGTAATGTGTTTAATTGTATTGGTATTGACAACTATACTATGTGTTGACATATGTTGTTTGCTTTGTCATTTGTTTATTGATAAATTACCATTCAAATTGCAACACTGCCTTTTCTTTTGTGTCAAACAGAGCACCGCTATATCAGGTATCCATAAAAATCCTTCGTCCCCTTGTTACTTTCTCTGATTTGAAAAGGCGTTGGCTTTCAGTTCTTACTTTCATTTGAACTCACTTTCTTGTGAAAAAATATAACTGCATGTGGGATATATGTAACTCAATAAAGGGGATTTTTTTTTATTTTTAGAGGTGTCCATCTTTGCTCAGTGAATTTGTGCAAACATTAGTGATAATTATGTGTTTCTATTTTGATCAAAATTTAACTGTTGTTTTCATCGTCATCCTTGTCATCGTTTTTGTCGTCTCCATTTTCATCTTTATATATTTTTTTCATAGTTTCGGCTTCTCAAGAATTGAGGAGCCGATCATTGGTTATAATAATATAATAATATAATAATATTATGATAATATATAACAATTATAAATAATTAAAACAAATGGTTTTCTGATGGTTGATGTTACGTGGCCAATTTGAACGAAAAAAAAAATAGAATGAACATTTTCAAACAAAAGCGCCTAATTATTATCATGAATAGACATTTTTCTAAATAAGTAATAACTAAATTTATATTAAAAAACTCAAAGGGGTTATTTGTTTTCTTTCCTATCTTTTAATGAAGGAGAGTTTTTTTCATTGATGGGATTTTGTATTCATAAAGAAACCACTAATTTATTTTTCTTTTAATTATATTAAATCCTTTAGTTCGTCATTTTGAATAACGTCAAATTAAAATGTTTAAATGTATGGAACGTTAAATTAACCTATATTTAAATATGTATACCTATCTTCAAATAATTGTACCTCTCTTCAAATGAATTGTATATATCTTGAAATTAATTGCACTTATCATTAAATCAATTGTACCTTCGATGTATCTTTAGAGGAATCAGAGATATGTACAATTAGATTACACCCATCTTCAATTCATTTGAAGATAGGTTCAATTGATTTGAAGAAAGGTACAAATACAATGAATTAAAGACTTGCACAATTGATTTAACGATAAGTACAATTAACATTGAACTTATCTTTAATTACTAAAATATTAGCAATAGTAAGTACTCTCTTTTTCATACGTCATTTCCGGTATAATATGTTTTTGCTCACTTATTGGAATACGTGTGTTTTAATAAATATATGATGTTTATTACACATTTAAAATTTACCTTTATTTCTTCGTTCATCCTCGTTGTCGTCGCTCGTTTTCCTCCATGTTAAAAATTATCTCATTATTTTCTACCACACAAAACGAATAGAACCTAGGTATAATTGAATTCTACTTATCATCAAATCCTTTGTGGATATGTCTTAATTGAACCTATCTTTAAATCAATTGTACCTATCTTTAAATCGATTATACCTGTCTTCAAATCAGTTAAAGATAGGTAAAATTCAATTGAACTTATCTTTAATTGAATTGAAGATGCTATTCCATTACAGATAGATATAATTCATTTGTACCTAGGCATAATTATTTAGAGATACATGTAAGTATAATTATTTACACCCATCTTTAATTTAATTGTACCTATCTATAATTCAATTGTACCTATCTCAAATGAATTGAAGATAGGTACAGTTATTTAAAGAGTAGGTGCAAATATTTAAAGATAGGTACAAATATTTGAATATATGTTCATTTGGCGTTCCATATAAATGAACTCGTCATCTCCCTCACTGTGATGTACGACTTTAACTATCTGGAATATTCAAATTTCTTTTTAATATTGTATACAGCATTTCTTCAAAATTTTCTTTACGTTATGTACTTTAATATTTCGTTTAGGCTTTTTATATTTCTGCACATATAATGTGTACTTTTCTCTTCTTTATGCTGCATCTCTGGCTTTGATTATTTAATACTTAAAGTATGGTTGTATGCTTATTGTGTATAAAATGAAATAATACTCTCTTTTTCCTCTTTTTTAAATTGTGAAACTAAAATCAAAAATGTAGCTATTTGAAACATATTAATTTAATTCTTCTTATTTACAAACACGACCTTTGATGCATATAATTAAAATAGAACAAATTAATCACTGTAACTTTAGTTAATAAATGGGGTGTGTGCTCCAGTATAATTATCTTTATTCAGAATTACTCAAAAGGCATAATGTGTATATATAAAACTGCACTCTCACTATATAGGTAATATCGGAGGAGGGGGTGCATCAGGAAATTTTTTTATATTTGGCTTAGCTTGCTCCTTTATTTTGGAAGTATCTACAATTTTCATTGGATCAGAAGAACAGAGAGAAGTTAAAGTGGCCATAATCTTTAGCTGTTCAACTGAATAGCCGTAAGATGAGTATTTCCAATTTGGAAATATGGAATAAGTACTTTGAGCAGGTGACACTAGAGGAGGGGGTATATCAGGAACAATGTTGATATTTGGATAAGCTTGTTCATTCGTGTCAGAAAAATCGACAGTTTCCATAGGATTGACAGCAGTTATGTTATATGAACAATCAGGACTTATACGACATTGCTGTTGGATTTCATCGCCGTAAGACGAAGGGTTTCTATCATCCAATAAATAATCCCAATTTGGAAGAGTAATATCAGTAGGTTGATCAGGAAAAAACAGTGAAGGAGTCGCATTGACAAGAATGTTCATATTTGTTTCAGTCTGCTCATTTATGTCAGAAAAATCGATAATTCTAATTGGATCGAAAGCAGAAACAGGTGGTGAACATGCTGCTCTTCTAAGACATTGCTGTTGAATTTCATCTTCGTTAAATGAAGGATTTCTCTCACGCAATAAATAATCCCGATTTGGAAAAATATTATGAAAAGATTGATCAGGTACCGACACTGGAGTGGATGCAGTAGGAAGAATGTTTATAGTTGGTTTAGCTTCTTCAATCAAGTCAGAAATATCGTCGACTTGCTTTGGATTGAAAGCGCAGATGGTAGGTGAACTTTCAGAGCTTCTAAGACATAGCTGTTTTATTTCATTGCCGTAAATTAAAGGATTCTCATCATCAAATAATTTATCCCAGTTTGGGAGAATACTATGAGAAGGTTTATCAATAAATTCAGATTTCTTTTTCTTATGTTTATCACATATTTCGTCAGTCATATCGATTTCCCCAGACTCGAAACTCTGCATTGAGATCGATGAACACTTGGAAGTAATGTCACTTGATGTCTGAAATGGAAATGGATTTATGAAAAGATTTTAATGTTAGAATCCTGTATGTGTAAATGTTACACTTTGATGTATTTTGCAAAGTGAAAAAGAAAAACAAAATCCCAAATTTATAAGATATAGGAATGAACGGCACAGTATCGAATAATAATGAGGAAAACTGAAGAGTAAATAGGTGGAATTAAAAAAATCCTCACGTTACCACCTTAAAATGTTGGTCGATGTATCGGGAATAAAAAAAATAAGACAATTTGGGGTTTTGCTTGTTTTTATTACATTTCATAGGAGAAAAAAACGACCGAGAATCCAGAGAAAAACATCTATCCTGGCGAGTTCACCACATGATATTTCAAATTTTCGACATAAGCAGACATGCTAAGGAAAGATTTACTTACTTCCATCATCCCGGACAAATGAAGTGTACACACAAACTGAGTTTTAATGAATGCATGTTATTTTTAACGTGTCTCTCTAGAATTTTTCACTCATATGAAGACACTGGCACTTGTCGGCCGACAGCTACAGACATTGTTCTCTACTGTATACAGGGTTATTTTAGCCCCGTATTATTTTCGTCCTTTTGCATTTTCGAAGAATTTTGCTCCTTTTTAATTCGCCCAGTCATAGTTCTGTTTAAGAAATTATGCTGTGTAATTTCGATTCGCTACGTTTTAAATTCGCCAAATCAGGAAGAGGGCGAAAG